AGCCGCTTCAGACCGCTCAACGCACAAAAACACACAATTATTTCAAAATGCACGGTTTTGGCTAGTTACCTTGTAAACGTAGTCTTAAATGTGTTATAAAGTCTTAAATGACCATAAAGAGTTGGGAGAGAATCAGATGTGTGTCAGATCCGCGTCATGTGCATCAGGTTTTAAAGAGACGGCGCTGATTTGAAAGTGAAACCTGCTGAAGTCTGTCATTGATGTAAAGCAAAGAAAAAGAGAAATCCTTGGACTGTTCTAGTCGCTGATTAACTTTTATAGCTTGAATAAAGATTAATCTGTATAGTTTATGCATATATAATATAGTTTGTGAAGATCGTTTTAAAATCACTTAAATTATAAGTTGTTATATAGCCTATTTCAGAGCCTATTAAATGTTAAAAATAATGGCTTTCAATTATACTGTAATGTTGAATGGCTATAATTAATAGGTAAAATTGAGGGAAAATGCACCAGCAGGACAAAAACATTGTAAATATGTTTAGTCAATTTAGTAGTAATGACTGCCTGTTTTTGCAAAAAGAGTTTCATGGCCGGTAAGAAAAAATTTTGGCCGGTAAATTTTATCATGTCACCGACCATTGGCAGGTGTGGCAAAAAGTTAGTTTTAGGCCCTATATGTATATGTTATTTATATATATATATATATACATAGAATGGCTGCTGACACTCTGGAGCTCACAACTCCGAAAACATCAGAACAAATTTTCAAATAGAAGTTATCTTTATTAACAAACCGCATGCTTGAAGTCCAAACAAGTACATTCTCGACTAAAAAAACTCTCAAAACTACATTACGTGACACAGAAACTGTATTAGTTAATTATGGTGGATTTGGGCGTCCGCCATGACACTCGCTGTGAGAAATACTGCAAGCGGAGTGATACAAACAGTGAAATGGCTGGAGTTCTGTTGGACTCTAATATCAACACTCTTATCAGCCAATCAGATTCTAGGACCAGAAAGAACTGCTGTGTATATGTGTGTGTGTGTGTGTGTGTGTGTGTGTGTGTGTATATGTATATATATATATATATACACACACACACACACACACACATATGTTTGTGTGTTTCAGGTGTGATCCGGCCGCGTCCAAGCGAAGATGCAGCGGAGATGGAGGAATCTGATGTTGTCATGGCAACGGAGCGTAACTCCAGGCTGCTGTACACGTTACAGTGAGTCTGCCGCTCTGATTGGCTCAGGCTGGACTGTCTGCCGCCTGATTGGCTGATGAGCCGTTGTGTTCTCGGTTGCTAGGGGCAGTTGTGATGTGGTGGATGATGGTGTTACCCCCGGCGACGGGCAGGGCGCAGGCGGACTGGACTCATCGTTCTTCAGCCATCTGAAACGCAACTGGACCTGGACCAGTCACCTGATCAACCCCAGCAAACAGGTACACACACACACACACACACACACACACACTCAGACTGTATAGAGCCGTGTCAGTAGTGTTGCAGTGGTGTGTTTATGTGCTTGTGATGTTGTCAGAGCACTGAAACCCAAAAGACAGGAACCCATCCTACGGTCAGACTGAGGAACCTGCTGTCCAAACTCCCTCCGCCCAAACCTGCCACGCTCACCGGTAACACACACACACACACACACACGAAACTCACTGATGGAGAGTTGTGATTGGTCAATCCAGTGTCATGAAGTAACAGCCATTAACTCTTTCCCTGCCAGCATTTTATTTTTGTAAAGTTGCCCGCCACTGCCAGCATTTTTTATCATTTTCACTAGAGTTCAGTGGCCTCCAGAATATTTAGTATGAATATCTGAACATGCAATATGTCAAAACAAGGCACAGAGCCTTTGCTTTTGATATTTCATTCTGTAATGCCAAAACATTCTGTCAATGGCAGGGAAAGAGTTACTGAGTTGACACAGCACTGGATCTACTAGATTTTCACCACTAGAGTTGTACTAAATTATGATTGCAAATTTTTTTTTTGCTTTATTTTGTCAATATGGCAATAATAATAATGACAATAACTGGTTTTATTATTGTTATTATTATAACTTAACAAAATAACTATTAAAAAAAAAGTGTTGCTATTGTAATATTTCAGTGTAAAATCATCAAGCTTTTATTTTTGCGGAAAACCACAGGAAGCCTTTAACGCTTCTCTTCTGTTGACAAAACACCGTTTATAAGTGCTTATTTCAGATTTGGGAAGATTGTTGGCGCATATTGCATTTTCAAATGCACGTTATATGTGATGTGAACAGCGACGCTTAAACACCAGATCATGAGCTGCTCGTGTGTAAATGAACACAGCAATGCGCTTGACTCTTCTATTTAATTAATCATTTAATTAATGAATTAATTTATTTAATTTAACTGCAGATGCCATTTCACGATTTTGCGTTATTCCACACACTTTTATGAAAGTAAGAAACCTAAGCCCGTTTGATAGTTGCGCTAGTGAACCGGTTTCTGTGGCGTCCGCAGCGGCTCAGAGCGGCGTGAAGGCGGCGCCCCCTGCTGTCCTGGAGGAGGAGGTGCGCACCAGCTCAGAGCCGTCCAGCAGGAACCAGGAGGTGCGCGGAGGACGAAACCTCAAACGCAAGAGAGAGAAGAAGGAGAGCAGCAAACCCACCCGCAAGAAGAAGAGAGGTCACTAACACTAGCAGGACATTAGCTCTGAACAGTCACGAAGTCATGTGTTTAAAGTGTGTGTGTGTGTGTGTCAGTGCGCGCAAGCAGACAGAGCCAGGCTCAGGACGAGACGGACCGCCGCGCTCTCCTGCAGATGACCAGACAGAGAGTCACCTGGACACACATGGAGGACAGCCTGCTGATGCTGTGCCGTGTCGCCAGCCACTTCCTCAACTGCAAGGTACACACTCACTCACACTCACACACACACACACACACACTCTCACTCACACACACACTCTCAATCACACACACACTCACACACACACACACACACTCACTCACACACTCACTCACACTCACACTCACACACACACACACACACACACACACACACACACACACTCACACACACTCACACACACACACACTCACACACTCACACACACACACACACACACTCAA